GTAGGAATCAGCTGACAATGATTCATTTATAAATCAAAATGTCCACAAAATTCTGTCCTGAAGAACTTTTTTTCTTTCCATATCCCCGTGCTTTATGAAGCACCTTCATTCTTTAAGGGATAATTCAGGTTTTTTGACAGGAGGTTATGTGAAACGTTCACCATCTGTTGCTAAGATGCAACAGTGTAACTACTGTCAATGGGCCTTCTGCTATAAGAAAGGTCCGATGACATAGCTGAGAAAAAGGAGTTCCGGCACGATACTGGGGTGTAAATAATCAAAGCCTGTTAAGCTAGAAAAACTATGCATGTGTTTCAACATTTTCAAAACTTCCAGGTGCTATTTCAGACCTTGATATCAAGGCTGACATAGCACCTATAGTGGCCCAAGGATATTGGGCCATTATCAACCCACTGTGTGTGTGTGTCTGTGTGTGGTGATGAATTAAAACAGCTTTTTTAATAGCCACCCCCATACATCTTAAGAGCATTCTCCATGTTATCCTTTGTAAACATTATTTTCTGTCTTTCATTTTAATTAAAACAAAAAGCTCATCTACTTGTTTACGACAGCTGAAATGAGGGGCTGTGGATGAGCATGAGCTTGAGCCCATACCACAAAGTGATCAATCCACAATGTCAATCAGGATCAATGATGCCACAAAGCTGGTTATCAACTCACTAAATTAAACCAGCTTTAACCGGTCATGAATCTATGAACACGCACATATAAAGCGGTGGGTTCAAGGTAGCAGAACCATGATTATAGAAGAGAGAGGACTGTATTTCTCTTGTGAGGAATAAAAACTAATCTTAAAAAATACAAAGAGGAAAAAACAGTCTCAATAAAAAGTCAAACTTGGTGGTGGCATAAAAATACACACCAAATGGTGTGGCTAAGGCTTGCTGATGGCGTAAACGAGCAACTTTACACATCATTTAACACAGCTATGCATCCCAATCACTGCAACATATTAATCATGTCTCATCGATGTAACCCCCCTCAGGGGTGAGGAGGACTTGGGAGCAGATAAAAATAAAACACAAAATATAATTTCATCTGGCTAGTTGGAATTTTTTACTTCAATAATATTTTGACCCTAACAAAGCTGGGGGCTGATTGTATCATTTTAATACAAGAACTGATCAGTCTAAGGGAAATCATCTTGATTTTTGAGCTGTGTCATAACACATCCTCAGTCTGAATGAATAAAATATTCACACTGAATGCCCTGTTCTGGACAAAGTTGAATGTGCTGTCAACAAAATCACAAACGTTGTCAACGGAAATGAAATTTATTAACCAATGGAGGCCTGGCTTTGAAGTGATTCACAAAAATTAAGGTGGAAAAACGCACTACAGGCTAATTCAACTTTGATGTAATGTCTTTAAAACACATCAAAATGAGGCCTGGTATTGTGTGTGCCTATATAATCTCCCTGCAATGCCTAGGTAGCTCCTGATGAGGTGGCAGATGGTTTCCTGAGGGATCTCCTACCAGACCCTATACTAAAGCATCTGCCGTTCTCCAGGCTACCATCACCGGGTCGGGTTTGGTCGCTCCATCACCCGCTGGCTCCCTGCCCTAGTCCGCCGGGGTTTCCGGACCAGCCCTGGAGCTCACGGCTCGGTTCGACTGCCCAGTGTGTTTTGATTTAGAAATTCAGCTGAAAAAATTTTTAAGGCATGAAAAATAGGACATGTCCGGGAAAAGAAGGACGTCTGGTCACCTTACCATATCAACAATTTCGATGTTTCAGTGAGTGAGTGCTTGTTGCTATGATGCGTCTTTGCTCAGCAGCTTCTCTTGTCGTAAACCAACCAATCAGTGCACAGCTCATCTAAATACTCATGAGCATACCATAACAGGAAGAAAACCTGTCGTTTCATTCTAGGACTTATAACCAGGCTTGCATTAGTGCTCATAGAACAGCAAATATGCCATTTTCAGCCCATCCGATGTTACACACCCTTTTCAGAGACCTTAAGGGCCAGCACCAAATAGCCTATATAATAATTCTATGACCCCTTTAATTCTCCTTGTTGTCATCAATTCCACTTTACAAACTCTTCCATCTGATTCTGGAATAGCCTTTGTGACCACTGGCAAAGGCTAGTTGTTGAGGCAGCTTGGTTGTCTTTGAGGAGGACAATGTCACCATCTTGCAGGGTCTGGTGGGACCTTGTCCATTTTTTGAGGCTTTGTAGGGTTGAAAGGTACGCTTGTCTCCAGTGGTTCCAAACAAGTTGGATACACTTGTCTCCGTTGCTTGGTGAGTAGGTCCCTGTCTGTGAAGTCACCCGGAGGTGGTGGGAAGCCGACCTTCTAAGTTAACAGCATCGATGGTGTGAGGATGTATGGATTCTCTGGATCATTCGATACTGCAACTATTGATCTTACATTTAGAATTGTGGTCACTTCTGCCATTAGTGTGCTCAGAACTTCATGAATTAGGTGAGTGCTATGATCACAGAGCATTGAATCAAGGATTCTTCTGGCTACCCCAATGATGCGCTCCCATGAACTCCACATCCTTGTTTGTGCAAGTACCTCTGCATTGTGCTGTCCTGTTGGTCTGCGCTCAGCCCAAGTTCTTTACAGGCCTCAATGAAAATTTTGCCGCAGTCTTTCCTCAGTTGTTTGGCTGGTCCTCTTATGGCAAAGAAACACCTCAACATGTTTATGTCACTTGAGGTAATCACATCAATGTGAACTGCTCTGAAACTCATGCAGCAGAATAGTATGGCCCAGCACTTGCTCTCAGGTTGGTGGAGACATGCCAGGGTCCGAAAACATCTTGGACCACATACGTGAAGGGAGTGCAGGTTGTAAGGAGCTCCGCGGGCAAATCTGCCATTTGTTGTTCCTGCATCCGTGCTCTAAGTCTGCGACGGGTGATGCATTTGTGAATAGTTGCCTCCAAGGATCCTGTTAAAGTGAGGAGGATTTGTCCCCTTGGAAGTAAAGGCTGTAGCGCCCCAGGGGCCTCCTCATCGGTTCTTTTCCTGGGAGCAAGTTATTTACTACTCTTAACTCAAACTGGGTAAAACCATATAAAAAAGGACTATAAGTAAGGCGTGCTGCTGGAACAGACCAGGATGGCAGGTCAGCCGGATTGTCTTTGGCGTTAACGTAGTGTCATTGTTCAAGGATGGTAGATTGGCGCATACGCTGGACACGATTGTGGATGTACACATAGAACCATCTGGACTGGTTGTAAATTTATCCAAGGACAACTTTGCTCTCAGTGTAGAACTTGGTGGCTTCCAGCTTTTAGATCCAGTTCATCCCGAATCAGCTCAGCTATTTCCACTGCTAATATTGCTGCACACAGTTCAAGTCTGGGAATGGTTGGGAGGAAAGTTTGGCCTTTGCCATGACGTCCACTGTGTCTCCTTGGATGGCTTTCAAGTAGGCAACAATGGCCTTCACAGATGCATCGCAAAAGACTTGGAGTTCTACTCGCACAGCCTTGGTTGGACAGATACCTGTGTACATCTTATCCTAGGTATGTGAAAGTGCCTTGAAGTGAGTTTCTCGAAGCTTCCCACTTGCCTAACTTTTACGCATTTTTCCAATTTTTCCAATTTCCCTCTTTTTCACAGAGAGTGCTGTCTTTACAGAAACATTTTGAACAAAAACAGCCCTAAAGCTTCATTACCCTATCGGTCATGAATCAAATGGTGCAAGAATGACATCGGTATGACTTATTATGCCAGGGTTACAGGCATTTGTTTGGCACATCATACAGGAGATTAAGCCAGGATAGTAATGGAGTTGGTGGCCAAACATCGCATCACTGCCTCTTCCGAACTGTTGGCTTTACAAACATCAATCAGGCACATATCATCATCAGACCTTGCTAGTGCGGAAATTGAAAGCATTTTTTTTTTATATCATGTATGGTTTGGCATCAATTCGGTCAAATTTCAAACAGAAACCTTTCAAAATGACCCCATTTTTACATGGTTACCATGGCAACATAGTTTTTTGTAGAAACATGAAAGTTAATATAATCGTTCCTTATAGCCAGCATTGTCACAGTTAAACAGACATATCAGTATCAACTATACTTTTTGATTTTTTAACTGTGATTCAACACAAACTTTTACAGATTTTGCACCTTTTGCCGATTTTCTTTTCTTTAAGAGTACCGTGTCTGTTTAGAAATGTTTTGTACAAAAACAGCTCTAACACATTGTTCCCCTATCTGTCCTGAAATGAAAAGTGAAAGCATGACATCAATACGCCTTATTAAACTAGAAGTATAGGCGTTTGTTTGGTACAAGATCATACATATGATAAAGCAAAGAATTATAAGGCGAGGCTGTGGCTGAACAAATCCAGGTGTGCCAGGTTCAGGTGGAGAGCATCAGAGATGGCATCCTCAGTGGAGCGGTTCCGTCGGTAGGGGAACTGGAACGGGTCGAATGTTGGCGGCAGACTGGAGACGATGTGCTCTTTAACCAGCTTTTCGAAGCACTTCATTATGATTGGAGTCAGTGCGACAGGCAGGTAATCATTTAGTAAGGTGACCTGAGGCTTTTTTGGGACGGGAATAATGATGGCAGACTTGAAGCATGCTGGCACTATGGATTGGTGCAGCGAGGTGTTAGAGATGTCTGTGAGGACACCAGCCCGCTGATCTGCACATTCTTTATACACCTGCCCAGGTATGTTATCAGGCCCTGGGGCCTTCCTTGGATTTACCCTACTCGGAGTTTTCCTCACTTCAGCTACGTCCAGGTTTAGTGTCTCCTCCCCCTGGCTTTCACTGCCGGAGTGTTGTGTCGTTTAGTGCTTCTAACCTCCAAAGAAGTTGTTCAGTTCATTTAGGAAGTCCATGTTTGCTGCATCTCCCAGGGGGGAGTGTGTGTTATAGTCCGTGAGCATCCGAATGCCTTTCCACATCCTCCTGGTGTTGTTGTCGTGGAAAATATCCTGTATTTTCTGGCTGTGGTTCTGCTTCGCTGATCTGATGGCACGGTTTAAGTTGATA